AAATCACAAAAATATCACAAATTTTTATAGCCAACGGTTCAAAATACTGCAAAAAAAGTTAAGAAAACGCCGTAACATCTTTGATGGCGTAATGAGCTTTGCTGATTGGCTTCATCGGAAAGCTTGGGCCATAAAAGGAACTATCCAGTGGTGAAAATAATGTTTTCGAACACAAACTGCTAATCATACCATTGAATCCGTGGGAATGCTGGTGGGCGCAATTAGTTAGGAGGGCGCAATACACCCACTTTCCCCTACACACAGACACACACAGACATACAAACACATATTATTGACCTTGACCTAACTTGACCTGACATGACCTCAGCAGCAAAAATCTGGTCGGGTAGTGTGACAAAGAGGTTCTAGCTGGCTTGGCACCAGAAAACAGCATCGTCATCGGTATATGGTAAGCAGCGCACTTGATATCCAACGTTGACCCAAAATAGCAACATTTTTTTAGTTTGACCTGACCTGGAAGGTCAATGACTGACCTGAGAAGGTAAAACTGGGTATCATTGGATTTGTCTCTTCCCAAAGAATCTTTTTGGTCTTTACCGCTAAGCTCTATCTCCAACAGGAACGAAATGTCGCGGGGGGGGGGTGGCAACCACCCCCCCCATGTGCGTTCTAGGATGGGAAAATGGCATGTGCGGGCGAGGGTTAAGGTCGACGGACAAGTCTTAATCCATTGGTTCTCCCCTGCGTCAACACTGAACGGGGTGGCTTACCTCAGGCTGCTCAACGAATGCTTCTGCCTCAGGTCAGGGACAAGGTTCAAAGAGACGGCCTGTGGTTCCAGCAGGATGGTGCCACAGTGCGCACCACGGCAGCTGTTGCGCCAGTGGCTGATCGAAAATTTCGAAGAGCGTGTTATCAGCCACCTCACCGGGCGACCATGGCCACCACGGAGTCCTGACCTCTCCCCGCTGGACTACTGGTTTTGGGGGGTCGCATTGGCAAATCTGAGACAAAACCCTCCTGCAGCCATCCACTGCGAAACACAGTGGAGAGGTTTGCTGGAAGCCTGGACCCAGACGTTGTGAGGCGCGGGGTGCGACACCTTCGTCAGAGGGTCGAAACCTGTGCCTAAATTAAGGGCGATACAGTGGAAAATTCCTGAGGAGCATTAAAATGAAAGTTGTGTGTGCAAAAACGCTAATGTGTTTCTGTTCCATGTGATGGTACATATTACATGAGGAGCATATATGTCCTGAGAAATAGCTCTTTCAAAAGTAACATTCATTATGAAAGACCCTGTAGCTACATATTTTTTGTCAATTTTGCATCACGATTTTCATCGACCTGTGCTCTATATGTGATAGACGCTAGCTAAAATACCAGTAGTGTCATAAACTCTAAGATGTCCAGTGCTAAACAGTACCTTAATATTTCACTTTCCGTCAATATTTGAAAGACAAATAATGGTTTCATCAACTCGTTGTTAATCGCTGGAGAGGTGGCCGGCGTTACCCCTATCCCGGGCTTACCCCAGAAAAATTAATACTTTTTTAACACTCGAATTTCGCAACTTCATACTATTTCCACAAAACCAAGTTTTTGGGACAATACGGCCAATTAACTTATCTAGCTAATAGGATATCAACATTTTATACATAGGTACATCACGCAAGTCGCAAGGTATGTCATAAAAATGAAAAAGAGAGCTTACTTTGCCGGGCTTCCCCCGGCTTTACCTATGATATAAGTAAAATGGAGTAGGTCCTTGAGAATCAGATGGCAACATTAAGAAAGAATTAATAGTGCTTTTGAGTTTTGACATGTCATTCCTATATGGCTGCAGACTCAGTGATGTAGCTACCCATACGCTAACGCATACATAATATAGGTTCCAGTAAGAGAACTATCAATCAAATTGTATTATAAATGACATCGGCACCTTTTGATAAGCGGAGCTGCTTATCTGCGCTGTCGATGCCTGATCACTTTTATATGCTCGATATAATCAACAGGGACATATACGACCTGCACTGTCGGGCCCTACAGTCGGAAGACAAACCGCGGAATTCGCCTGATCAGGCGGGGGCAGACCGCCCCGATACTAAAGCGCAGTATAGGTCGAACGCCGTATATGTCTATGTCGAAAGAAAGCGAGTGATCCGATCAGCAATCCCACACTGTCCGATTGTTATCCTTTTCGTCTTTGCATACAATTTCAATTGGCATTTGTCATTGTGATAAACGTATGGTTATAAAAAGGAATCTTTAGTTCGGTGAGGGCTGAATAAAATGGTTAGGTTTTGTTCAGCATGAAAATTAAAATGGTTGTTTTATTCAACGAGCCAGCGAATAGCACCTACCTACCTTTATAAGTGATCGATTTATCGGACTCGGGTGTGTCCGGCTCACTTCAAAGACGGCGGCAAATGTGTATGCGACCAAAGTCGTCTAGCAAAGTTATAGCCAGCAATTCTCCGAAGTTAACATTCACGGCCAACATTTATGACGAACGGAAATTAAACTGAGGTGGGGCGTTATGCCCCGGCGAAACGAACCGTGCGTTTTAAAACTGTGCGGTATAAAGTAAAGAACCTGTGAATGCTTTGAGGTGAAAACGTTACGCCAACACACAGCCATCGAGTAATGCCGATGACCACAAGTGAATTACCTAACTCAGAAAACACAAATCCCAAAGTTGAACCGCATAGTTTGGGTCTGCATAGTTAGAATGGCTTAAATGAATGAAACTATAATTAGATAACCGTGACCCATGCATTAATCTGTATCGCTCCAGCCAATTATATGAGCTGATGCAGAATAGACGCTTGATCGTAATGAGAAATGCTTCAGTATTCGACGAATAAGCATCCCTTATAGACTTCTACAGTATCGCTATGAATTCATACCTACCTAAAGCGATGTGTATGTTTGCATATGTCTATGTCCAATGTCCATAAACCGGCAGATACCTAAGTAATTATTACGAAAACATTGGGCTACGTAGAGGCGTAAATCATGGTTGTATGCACCCTTCTTTAAAGAAATATATGAACCTTCGGGGTATTGAATGAGGAAATGCATGACAGCGTCAGCGTCGCTTGCTTGTGTTTCCTGATCCGCAATGCATGTAGAATTAGATCAATTATAACATTGTTTCTGATGTGGTAAAGATGTGCTGAATCCCTCGCTATCACGTGGTCCGGTGCCGTCCTGTACCCACCCGACCGGCGCCCCGTCAGTGGCCGGCCAGCTGCGTCTTCCACCGGCCCCTGATGTCTATCAATCTGCCGATATGGTCACAGCAGCCGGCCGCCGACCCGTGCCGAGAAAGGAGGGACAGCGCCGGCCGTCACCCCTGAGAGGTAGCCCCGCGCCGCCACTGCCGCGATTGTCCGCGTGAATCGAGTGCTGTCAGATCGGAAACTGACAGGCGACCAGCTCCCAAAAGGCTGGATTATTTGTATTTGTCGTCCGTCTGGTGTTCTGATTTTGTTTTATACAAAGAAATGGCGCCGCGTTCGGGGCGCCCCAAACAGCTGGATATACCTAAGTCAGCCGAAGGAGTATCCCACTAAGAAGCACTTGATTGTGCTTTCCGCATGAACGTTAGATGTCATGATTCAGGTTTCGCTTTAAACATAGCCGCTGTAACACACATAAGATCCATGGCCTAAACCAGTTGTATGGATATTCGATTTATGGCAGATATAACGTCCCCGTAGACGGTTACTGGTAAATTATATGTCGGTCTGAGGATTTTCTTACTATGACCGCTAGGTGGCGTTCAAGCAGCGACGGACTGAGACAGAGGGAGCAGCGATGAGGCGAAAGGGTGTTATGCACAACACATATATGCTCATCTCACCGAGGAGCTGGAATTCTGAGCCATGTGGCCGTCCCCACAAGCATAGCCACATGAGATCACCCGGTCGCTGCCGCCCGAGCGGCGAGCCCTCGGGCAATCTCGCTCAAAAGGTAGATCTCCAATCTCCAATCGCCAGGTGCACCCATCTGACCACGCAACCTTTCCGCGAACGCTGGCGTGCTCAGAATAGTCTCTCCACATTGCTGGAACACCGGGCACACGGGCGCACCTCTGCGGTGCCATTTCTGCGGAGTGACCGCGGCAGTACCGACTCACGGTACCCATATCATCTGACCGATCTCGAAGGACCACTCCCCGTCCGCCAGAACACCGTTTCACGACATGCAAATCGGCGGTGTGGCCGCCGGTTGGCTGCTCGCGAATGCAGGCTGCTCGCGGTGGTCAGAGACTGAAACATGGACGACCCGCCGGGTTATGACGTGTTCACTGGCCGGGAAAGGCGCGTGATGTCACACATCAGCGTCCACTGATGGCGGAGTGATGTGCGGGAGATCGGGGAGCGGTGGAACATAGCGGCGCTGCCAACTGCGGTACCGGCGGATGGTGGACGGTGCCCGTTGCCCAACTCAGCCCGACGGACTTATGCCATCTCTTGGTAACGGCAGATCGCGTCCAGCTCAGCATGACGAGTCGTCCGTCTACCGTCGTCCGTCTACCGTCATTGACGACGGTAAATGGGTGCAACTATGCAATCTCAAAATAGGCGAGCGAGAGGAAAATCGGTGACCCAAGGAAAATCTCAGTTCATATCTCGGCGACGGGCGACCTAAGATAATTTTGCGACCTCTCCGTAAGTAAAAGGAAAAAAAATAAATGCATCTCTTCCGGACGTAAATCACAGAAGCCGTGGCCCAGGGCGAAGAGTTAGAGGGTGACGTCGACCCAAAACGCCCCTCCTGGCTCAATGTGTTACAATCAGGCCACCGTCCTTGCACAGGTAAATAAATGCCTGGTCACATAATGTGACCTCACCACAATAAAGCCTACTCGTATCGATGAAAATAGTCTTCCTACAGGAAGCGCGTTGCCCCATTCATCGATGGAGGCGCGGTGCCGTCGGCCTATTCCCCTCACTTTCCCAGTTTCTTTTCTGACATCTCTTTCTCTCCTCAATCCTTCCCTCTCCTCTCCTCTCTCCTGGTCAAACTCTCGGTGTTCACGATCGGTGATATAGCTGTATTTCGACGACTACCACGGTAAATCGCCTGCCGCTCGCGGACAAACCACTAAGACAATGTGTGCTCTAGGCTAGTGCACCGCCGCGCGCGCAGACACCGCGCGCAGTTACCGCAGACAGCAGACAGACGCATCCTTTCGCGCGCTCACACAATCATTCCGCCTCCCTCGGAGGGGTACTGTAGCGCAGAGGTGGACACCGGGACCCATCAGTAGGGGGGACACACACACATACAAACAGGGCGACCCAGCTACCGCCGCTGGCTCACCCAATGGGGGGGGGGGGAGAGCCCACGGCCCTAAACGGTGGGAGACAGGGGGTCAGGGGGTGGGGGCAGACCGAACACAGTGTGGGACTGACTAGTAACCAATAGCCACTGACTAGCGGAGCCTACTCGACCGACCACTGCTATCAGACGAAAACACGTCACTGGTGCGCCTTGTGGCGTCAGTGACGGCTCGTCTGAGCAGAGGTCGGGCAGCTAACCTACCATTGAACACAGCAGTCTAGGGGGATTGGTAGGACACAACGCACGGGGCGCCGCCCAGGGGACATGGAAACAGTAGATGATAGACAGTCGGCGGTACAGCATGACACAGTCACACCGAAACGACCGAGAAAGACACAGAACAGGGGCACTAAACCACACACATTGTTAGTCAGACCACATAGCACGTACTGGCTAAAATTAGCGCGACTCGCAGTGACGCCTGTATAGTAAAAGCTATGTAGTATGTATGGTGTATAGTAAAAGTAGTATTATGGTGTAAAACCAAACAATCAAACTCACATAATTCATTCCAAAGCAATGTTTGGGCACACTAGAACCTAGCGAAGCTTATATTACTAAGGCAGTCTCGTGCTCCCTGGCAATAAAATCGAAATTCAAAACGACATAATCGGATGTCACAACTGGTCATCGGATTTCTAGGACAGAGTTCATTTCCCAAAGAAGGGGAAACAACGAGAAGAGAAATATTTTTAGGTGTTTTTAATATCTTTATCGAAGGGAAGTTTGGAAATTGGTAAGCTATCCCCTCGGAATCGGATCAAAACATATTGACGTAAAACATACGTTACGCCCTTCACTTCTGTGCCCAAACAGCCTACACTGTGCAATATTACAATAAACACTCACATTCGCACCCAGTCAGTCACACGCATTCACCCGCAGGCAGCCACCAGGCCACTACAGCGAGCCGCGCCGACCCCACAGTCACACAGACACCAGCCACCACCAGGACCGAGGACTCGCGCTCAGAAGGCGCGGACGCACAGTACTATTAATGCCCTATGTTCCCGGATGTCACCGATTCTCAGGGAAAAGGTAGACGACAAAGTGGTAGAGAAACACAAGCTACGCACGAGCACAAAGTGCATGCAGACACTCACACAAACACTGACACACAGGCATACAAACACAGGGCAATAGCACTGACTACACCGACACCATCTGGGGTCCCGTCCCGCCTCGGGTTCCGGTGCCCACCTCTGCGGTACAGTTTCACCCCCGAACCCTCTATTATCCGCGCATCCTACCGCACTCGCTCACAAACTCTCGGGGTCTAGCACGCCCTCTGCGCGATTGTGTGTGTAACAATATGGAAACATTCGAGGTCCGTCAAGGGTGCGCGTGGTTCCATCCCAGGCCATCTGCGCCTCTGGGCTGAGCCCATGCAGGTGGCAGCACCATAGCTGAGAGCTTTCACAGATGGCAGCACCGTAGGCGGCCGCCGCAGTCCGTAGCGTCCAGCGCTCCCGTCACTCGCGTTCCTTCAGTAGCAAAATACGGATTTCCGTAACGGCGCGTTCCAGACTCTCAGGTAGGTGAGGTGAATTTACGTACACATGATCAACAACTAGCGTACTTGGACGAACACCGTCCGCTTACACCTACACTCCCGACGCATACAAAACGCACGCAGGAGAATCACACATGTGCTCTTAGTTGATTCGCCTGCCTCCGCGGCACGAAAAAAAGAATATCTAGTTGCACGCGTGGCATCACATCACAATACTGCGCCTGCGCGGAGCCCGGCGGCCGGCCGTCCGCCCGCCATGGGCTACCCGCAGTGAGACACCGGTGTCAGTTTGACACGGTGTCGGTGTCACAGTGTCGCCGAGCCGGCCCACCCGCCGGCCGGCCCGCAATCCAGGACCGAGTCCAATGAACACGTGAGACTGCAGCAGCGCCGCCGGCGGCCGTCGTCGTAAGCGCTGGTTCGCTCAACGGCCACCACGCGACGCTAGCCTCGGCGTTTGTACTTGACAATTCTCAACTCGCCGTGCCTAGGTTCAGTGTGAGGGCGATCGTCCCAGGACTGCTGTGAGGAAAATAACAAATTGTTAACTGATAAAAAGGACACGAGAACAGGTGTAAATGACTATAAACAATAGAAACAGGTCAACAACGCCGATGCAGCGTAAGTTCATCAGCTCAATAACGTGGCATGCTTTTCATCAGCAATGTATGATACATTCTCGCTGTAATGCCATTTTCTTTTCTACATCTACGCTTGACCTATCCATCAATAAGAACAACCATCAACCCCACGTCCCAGTGTTTGTCTGCACCTACCTCGGCGGGCGTGCAGCATCTCGATGAGAAGCGATGTGGCGCTGTTGGTGTCGTGCTTGTGGTAGAGGTAGTCCTCGCCTCTGTGGGCCAGCTCCCGCAGCTCGGGCAGCAGGGCCATTAGACGCTGGTGTTTACTCTGTTAAGAACAAACGTCATCGTCAGACCTGAATGAAAATACCCGACTACATCGAGCATAAGGGGGCGTGATGCCTCAAGGAAAAAACGTAGGTACTATCTCGCGTACCTGCACTGTAACCGAATAAAAAGCTTGCAGAGAATTCGGAGCTGAAGAAATCGTCGGTTCTGCACATTTCACTTCCATACACTATACTGGCCTTCCATCGAATATCCCCTACTTGATGAAGAGCAGCCCTCTGTCTTTGGCTGCGCACCCTAGCGGTGCTGCCACTTGCCCTCCATTGGACCAGTGCTGCCACCTATAGCGGTCCTCACCTGGATGTCGGGGTGGGCTGCGCTGCAGTAGTCCATATGCGCCTGGTTGATCTGATCCTGTGCCTGCTGCACCAGTCGCCGGTTGCTCAGAGTCGGCAGATCTGCAAAACCAGAGGCAGCACGTCAGTGTGTCAAGGATAAGATCATGGTTTCCTCATATCGACAGTTACAGGCTGCATGGCTGATGAAATTAGGCAAAATTTAGTTTCAGTGTGTCAAGTGTCATTAAATACCGATTCCCATTAGCCTTCATGTGACATACTATCCCACCCATTTGCTGTCCAGCCTCGTTATTTATACGGGTTACACAACCATGACTAATCTCTAACAAAGTCACCGACTCCCGTGTTGCGAAAGCGTCGACACATTTTCTGCAACTGAATCCCTGAGCCGTCGTCAGCCACTAAGGCGATAATAACTTTTAACACCTGACTCTAAACCTACACCACACAAAGCTCAAAAGCCACCAAAACAAGCACCCTCCCTCCACCCCCTTGCTTGCACCTCCCGCTCACACCACTCACTCGGGTCGAGCATTACGATGAACTTGAGGCAGATGTAGTCGGAGACATCGAACCCGATCTGCTGCAGCCGGCTGGTGATGTCGTGCAGCTGCGGCAGCAGCTCGGCCATGCCGAACAGGCTGAGGGTGAGCAGGTCGAACTTCTGGCCGTTGGGCAGGACCGTGCTGTCGGGCAGGTTGTTGTGCAGCCGCTGGTGGATGTGGTCCAGGATGAGCATCACTGACCACGTGGACTGCAGCAGCTTCATCTGGTCCTCAACCTGCCGAACAGAGAGAGAGAGAGAACGTCACGGTCAGTTTACAGAAACGGCGTAGAACCAGTCAGCTTCTCTGATTTCCTTTTAGAGTTACATTCTGTGTGTCTTTTATATGCTTATACCTGGGTATGATCTAACTCATCCCCGTGCTCGACGTGATCTTCGCTTCGTTGCTTTTATCTAGTTTGTTCGATGTTAAAACGTTTATTCCGTTCCGTGAAAGAAGCAGTAGGTAAACGCGTTCACTTTGGATCCTTGAGCCCGCCCAGCACCAGACACTGCTACTCTGCCGACCGTGCACAGAGCGGCAGAAAACGACGCGGAAGGAACAGACACGAAGCCTTGCGCTGATGAAAGCCGAGGCCCAAGGTTGCCCGTCAACGGCTCGTCAAACACAACAAAAACTGTTCTGAAACGAGCTGGCGTGTCGGCTTGGCGGCCCCACCGTTAACCAGTCCGTCCTTGCCGTGCGATGTCCTTTGTTGGAATGCGAAAAGTGCAGCACCAGATTTACCCGATCTTCCCCACCGTTGAAGCCGCACGATGAGCTGACATGGACTCATGTTGCACGCTTATGCAATGGTGACCGCAGGTGTGTCCGGACTTTCTGCCGAACACGGTAAAACGGTAGGTTGCTAGAGCCGATTTTTGTGGCCGAGCCCAGAATGTCTTTGTGTTAGGTTCTGATTCCGCGCCAATCCGACCATATCTCGTATGACTGGTCGTCACGCAACGAGGCCTGAGTCGTCCGGTTTAGTGATCACACTGCGGCGGCTGGCTCCAGCGACCTTCGCTGGACGACCTTCCCTAAATCCCTACTGATGTGGTCCTTCCAGACCACCGGCCGCCGACTATATGGCCTGTGCACTGTGCAGGATGCACGCCAGCCCCCTCGGCTCTGCGGGTAACGAGCTCTATCGGCTCCTCGGGGCTTGGGATCTCCGAGATCCACACTGGGTCGGCTCATCGGCATCTGTGATCTACATACACTGTGTAGGTTCTCTGGGATCTGAAATAGCTCGGCTCATCTCCGAAGGCGTCACTAGTTACAACATATCTGGGATATTCTCGGAGCCCAGCCCTGCTCAACAGCCGGTCCGGCGCCGGCCGCAGCGGGTGGGTCACCCGCTGCGAGTAACGGGACGTCGGTCACGCACACACAGACGAACTGTTGTGACGGCACCGACAGGCCAGGGGTGTAAAAACGGCCCACCGCCGGTCCCGGAAACGACGGAGCCAGGTGCGGCCAGAAGAGCGGCGATTAATTCCATCTGCGTCAGTAATGACGGCGACGGAAGCTGCGGGAAGAATCCCTTAGGACTTGCGTTTGGGATACGGCCTGAGAGCTGCGAAATGGACCATATATGACTTATTTTTACTTATCAGCAATGGCAGCACCGTTTTGTGAACGACAGCATTAGCCACGTACTGGTCAATGTGTAGGTGTAATAAAATCGGTCTGGAGAATATGTTAGCAGTTGCTCAGACAGATCGGTATGTAAATTGCCAGTCACTTTCAATACAGTGTCCTGAGTCGCAGTTGCACCACTCACTGGGCACCTCGCTGAGCTGCAGCATAGGCGTAGGAACAGGGGGGGGCCAGGGGGGCCATGGCCCCCCCACTTTCGGAGGTGGGGGGGCCAGCAATGTTAACTGGCCCCCCCACTTTTTGCTGACTTAAGTGTCTGTCTGTACCTAGGTACCAGTGCTACCACCCGGTAACTTGACAACAATTCAGCTTGCCCTTTAATGAAGATTCCCTTTTGTTTCTACAGCGTTATTGACCGCAATTTCCTTCACTCAATGAAGGAAACCGGAAACCATATCAGAGACAAGACTGTGGGTCCTGGTGACAGCATTTTGTTGAATACGAGGCACGGGACAGCGAGCACTGAAAAGGTATAAGACAATACTAGCACGGTGCAGGAGAATGCGTATACAAACGACCAACGCTTGACCGGATCTGCTTGGGGTCGGCATAGTTCGTCAAAGGCGTACTAGCTGGGGGCCAGGGTGACCCGCCTCGGCTCAAACAGGCTGAGGGCCAGCAATGTCTGTATCTGCCCCTTCCCTTCCACTTTCAGTGCAGTGGCGGTCGCAGAGGGGGGATCAGGGCCATGCCCTTCCCCCCCCCTCCAAAGGCTAATCAGGGGGCCATCATATCATTTGCCCCCCCCCCCCCAAACAACCAATGGGCCCCCATGGGCGTATGGGGCTCTGGCCCTTATTCGATTGTCACGAGGCTCAAGAATCCCACGCTAGCTATTAACAGCTCCCAAGCCAGTCTTTGAGGGTCCTACACTGATCTTGGAGGGCACTTCAGTGGCGGTCAAGTGCCAACATTGACCGCTGAGAACCCACATTGACCTCATTTGAGGGCCTCTAAACCGGCCTCAAGGGCCCAGTCGGCGTCTGAGGGCCTCACACCGGGCTCTGGTGGCCTGATTTCTGTCTCTGGGGTCCCAAGACTAACCTTTAGGTGCCTCTGAGGGTCCTGCACTGAATTCTGATATCTGAAGACCCGATGCCGGCCTCTAAGGTCCGCATCGGCCTCTGAGGGTCCATCTTGGCCTTAGAGGTCCAACGCTGGCCCATGCCGGTCTTTTAGGGCCCCACACTGACCTCTAAGGGCCCATGCTGGCCTGTAAGGACCCGTCATTAGCCTATGAGGGCATTGTACGGGATTCTGAAGACCTGATGTCGGCCTCTGAGGCCCATCTTTGTTTTTGAGGGTCTTCTGCTGGTCTCTGGGGTCCAACACTGGCCCATGCTGGTATTTTAGGGTCCCACATTGACCTCTAAGGGCCCCGCACTGGATTCTGAAGATCCTATGCCGGTCTCTAAGGGTCCGCATCGGCCTCTGAGGGCCCACCTTGGCCTATGAGGGCCTTCCGCTGGTCTCTAGGTTCCAGGTCCCGCCCATGCCGGTCTGTTACGGCCCCACACTGACCTCGAAGGGCCCATGCTGGCCTGTAAGGACCCGCATTAGCCTCTGAGGGCCTTGCACTGGATTCTGAAGACCCGATGCTGGCCTCTGAGGCCCATCTTGGTTTTTGAGGGCCTTCTGCTGGCCTCTGGGGTCCAACACCGGCCCATGCCGGCATTTTAGGGTCCCACACTGACCTCTGAGGGCCCATGCTGGCCTGTAAGGGCCCACATTAGCCTCTGATGGCCCAAGTCGGCATCTAAATGTCTCATCCTGCCCTTTGCAGGCCCTGTACTGGTCTCTGGGGGCCTCAACCCTCACCGGCCGATGGGGGGGGGGGGGAGGGCGGGTGCCGCCCCTCCATAGTTTTTTTTTTCGCGATAGCTCCGAACACGCCGGTGATAGAGAGCTGAAGCTACCTGACCTTTGAATCAAGCCGGATCTTTTGACACCAACCGCATTTTCGGGTCAGATCAGGTCACTGACCCATGAGGTCATAAGTGAACCTCTGCACGGTCTTCAGATGTCGCAACTTCGCAACGCCCTCACTGCCAGAGGAGATTTCACAGGGAAATGAACCTTGGAGGACCTAGTATCCATTAGGAGTCTCACAACTTGTACATCTCGGATTTTTCCTAAGGTCATTTTCGTGACCTCACCATTAGGTTTAAGTCAATGGGGATAAACTGAAAACTTTTTCTGGCGCCGTAAACGATCTTCAACTATCTCAAGCACACTGAATCTTTCATGCACTCCTTGCAAGGTTCGATGCGTCACTTTTGCAATGTTGACCTTGCGCGACGTCATTTATGAAGTTATAAGGGTCATATAAGTTTGTCGTCAATAACTACCGATCAAATTGAGCTAGCGAGTCTCGGAAGCCATCAATGGACTCAGGAAGACCTGCCGAATCGAATGATATGCGACATGACCTCCTTCGACCAATTTCGTGACCTGGGGGCGCTGACCTGACCTGACCGTGACCCGTGGTCAACACCCTCAGTTTACCTCACCCAAACAAAAAGTACATCATTCGACTCGCCTGAGAGAGGCGAACGCGATGCTGGCAAAATCGCGGCTCTGCGGCCGTTTTTTTGCGAAGTTATTCACCAAAAACGGAACCGTGCCTTGAGGCACTTGACCTGACCTCAGAGGTCACCGGTTGACCTAGAACCTTAAAATCGGGTATCGATCTCTGCGTCTTGTAACGGCGCACACTCTCGTTTTTCCGCGACGCGCTAGCTCAACCTGGGGCGCAACGGTGAGGGTGGTCGTAACCGCCCCCCGCCCCCTCGGCCGGCGCGTATGTAGAAAACCTATAGGTCCGGTCCGGCGAGGGTTAAACTGGCCTCTGATGGCCCAGACCGACCTCTAAAAGTCCCACACCGGCCTCTGATAGTCAATCAGCCCAGTTGCAGTGGTCGCTGATATAAAACCTCTTAAAAACGTTGTAGGTCTGGCTGAGCCTAGCTGGGCCGTTCGTGCTGATTTTTATAGGTATATTGAAATTTGAAAAGACTCGCTTTGCACGTTTCACGCTTGCTCGTAATGAAAAAGTTGCTGGATGCCTCTGGAATTGGCATGGGTGCCAACGGCTGCGGAGGACAGGGGAACGCGTCCATCAGTTTGAGTTTATGGACGGGAGTCTCCCTGAAATTTTAACCAATTTTGTTTTTCTTTTTGTCTCGATTTTTTTTTAATCTCTGATCATGTTTGCGAAAACAAAGTGGCCGAAATCCGAGGAGAAATCGGATTTTGGGGGTAGTTTAGGTTTTGCACCTCTGGGACCTTGGCCCCCCCACTTTCGAAAACGTTCCTACGCCTATGAGCTGCAGTTTCAACACCAGCAGAGGGTATCGAAACAAAATCGGCTATGAGAAGGGAAACCGTTTTCCTTATCGTTCGGACGCTTTTACCGCTCCCCGCAGGTAATACCTGCATTCAATAACAATATGAGCCTGGAGGAAGCAGCCGCCCACCGGGCGTTATTTGCACGGCGGTCTGGAGCCTGACCTTCCTCTACCACTGCTCAAAGTCACCGGTCGGCCGCCGGCGACAAAAACCCGGCTCGGACCTG